AAAGTTTTTCAACATTTTCCGGAAAATGTCAAGAAAAATATAAAATTTTCAACATTTTTTTTCGCAAAAAAAACCTCATAGGCGTGTTTCTGGGGTTGAACTATACTACCAGTTAAAATATCTGCACTCATTTCTGGGACACCCTGTATAACATGATTTTATCCATTTACAAGATTTTCTAGATACGCCTGTGTTCTGCAATGTCCATATATGTTTTATTTGTAATTTTATGACGTAAATTTATTTGAATTGATTTGTATTGTATGACATTTTTTTTTATTATTTGTATATTTGTTTTTGTGCTTTTTTGTTTTGTGAATGCTTTGTCGATGAAGCTGCTTTGGCTTTTTGTACAATAAAGCGTTGTTTTTGTTTTTTTTAGACAGACAGACACCATGAAAAGATTTTGTATTTAGGTCATTTATGACCCAAATAACTCATTTTGAATACAATTAAAAAAAATTTGCCGATCTTAAGAGCCTATCATACCTGTTGGTATGGTCGGCTAAAAATTACTCTCAGATAGATTTTTTAGGAAATTTTATGCTCTACATGAATCCGCGATGTAATTTTTTTTATCGTAAACCGTTTCAAAGTGATGGTACTTTTAACGGAAAAAGATTTTTTTAAGTGTTATTTAAACGGAAAACTTTAAATGTTCACCGACAGCTTTTAAAATTGAGCTAAAAATCCTTCCGGGGATATTTTTTTCTTGGTTATTAGGTTCATTTTAACCCATAAATTAGTTAGTTTTTTGACTCACCCTACTAAACATATATAATATATTGTTCTTTTTAAAATTATGATGTTATATTTGCGAGATTTAATCTGTTATGTATTGAATGTTTAATATTCATCAAACTTTACTTAAAAAGTAAAAAATAATAGTTTTTATAGCTAACGTGAGGTTAGGTTTCTAAATAAGCATGTAAACTTTCAAAACTATTGATTATGGTGTAATATTACGATAAGTACAGGTACTTAGTTTCTACGTAGTTTGGCACAAAATTTGAAACTTATCTATGACAGAATATAAAAATTATATATAATTTTTCTGATGGGTAAAAAAATACCTAGAAATGAAGTTATACCGGGTGCGTCTCAAAGGTGGGTCACCCCTATAACTTTTTTTTCAGATAAAAAAAAACGAGATTTGGTAGTTAGTATAATATGATATAAATTAGGATTGATTGACGGTATTCAGTTGTTTTCTGTCACTTCTTGTTTCACCGGAAATGACTACAACTTTTGATTTTTACACCCTTGGTATTTTTTACTTCATTTGATATAAATTACATTTTCGCATATGGTTTATTTGGAATTGTAACAGGTCGTTTATAACGATAATTTGACTCGAAATACCAAGTGCGTGGTATCAAACTATTCGTAAAAAAATGCTTTTTCCAAATATGCTAATGAGCCACCCTCGTTCCATTTGAGAAAAATAGATATGATTAAAAATACGATTTGGGCATATTTTAACCGGCCAGGACAAGACACGAAAAACATTAGACGATCAAATCAATTTTTCCAAGGCTCCTTGATTAAAAATTAGTGTTTTCAACACAGCCATGGCACTCTAGATTGAAATTTAAAATACGATTTTTTTCTAAGCGAGATTGCCAAAAGTTGACATATGATATGTCATTCTATTGAGAGTGTCATTTTCTATCGATAAAATAAAAAAAACCGAGGGTGCCATTTAAAAATCAAAAGTTGTAGTCATTTTTTGTGAAACAGGAAGTGACCGAAAACAATTGAAGACGTCCACTGAATTCTAATTTATATTATATATTAACATAGGAAACTTTTTTTTTATCTGAAATAATAAATATGGGTGAGCCACTTTTGAGAAACACCCGGTATTGGTATGTTTATATCGTATATCTTATAAATGACTATTCTTATTTAACATTACTAAAAGTATTTTTATTATTATTACGTGGATTTAGTTGGCACCAGTAAATTTTTATCGTCATTGTGTTAAGATTAAAAATTTGAACTTGAATATTTTTTAAAAAAATATTCAAAGATAAGTGAGATAAATTGCACAAACTTTTACATTATGTTTGACATATTTTTTGTTACATTAAGTACCTAATTTAGAAAAATTCTATATGTTGGAGTTGTATGTTAATATTACATTTTTAATTTCTAGGATTAAAATAAGGGCAAATTTGGATTTGATTAAGGTTTACCTCACTTATATCTTATTTATTTTTGATATACACATGGACGTTTGCCGCATCGTGTGGGTGAAGACTGTCCTACACGATTCGTCCAACGTTGGTTGTTAAAAACCTAACCAACCCAAACCAACGTTGGAAGCATCGTGTAGGACTGGCTTTATTAAAACTGAGTCCCAGAGAGTTTGCAATTCACAATTGTGTCTCCTACACGATGTGGCAAAAGTTCATGTGTCCTAAACGATGCGTCCAACGTTGATTCCAACGTTGTTAGCAACATTGGACGCATCGTGTAGGACCGGCACCGACGAATAGGACCAGCTTTATTAAAGCTGAGTCCCATAGAGTTTTTTACGTGTACTTATTAAATAACATTAGTATCGTCAAAAGAATATATTAAAACCGAATTATAACGAGAAAACTGTCCTGGACTAGATCCTCTTGAACTGGATGGCATATGTCCATCAGCAGTTTACCATTAGCTGAAGAAGTATGATTCTTGGATTGAGGGGGTATAAATTCATCATTAAATAACAATATTATCATCTAGAGAATATACTAAAACCGAATTCTAATGAGAAAACTGTCCTAGACTAGGTCCTCTCGAACTGGATGACATTTGTCCATCAACAGTTTACCATTAGCTGAAGAAGTATGATTCTTGGATTGGAGGGTATAAATTTATTATTAAATAACATTATTATCATCAAAAGAATATATTAAAACCGAATTATAACGAGAAAACTCTCCTGGACTGGGTCCTCTTGAACTGGATGGCATATGTCCATCTGCTGTTTACCATTAGCTGAAGAAGTATGATTCTTGGATTGGAGAGTATAAATTCATTATTAAATAACATTATTATTATCAAAAGAATATATTAAAACCGAATTATAACGAGAAAACTGTCCTGGACTGGGTCCTCTTGAACTAGATGGCATTTGTCCATCAGCAGTTTACCATTAGCTGAAGAAGTATGATTCTTGGATTGGAGGGTATAAATTTATTATTAAATAACATTATTATCATCAAAAGAATATATTAAAACAGAATTATAACGATAAAACTGTCCTGGACTGGGTCCTCTTGAACTAGATGGCATTTGTCCATCAGCAGTTTACCATTAGCTGAAGAAGTATGATTCTTGGATTGGAGGGTATAAATTCATTATTAAATAACATTATTATCATCAAAAGAATATATTAAAACCGAATTATAACGAGAAAACTGTCCTGGACTGGGTCCTCTTGAACTGGATGGCATATGTCCATCTGCTGTTTACCATTAGCTGAAGAAATATGATTCTTGGATTGGAGGGTATAAATTCATTATTAAATAACATTATTATCATCAAAAGAATATATTAAAACCGAATTATAACGAGAAAACTGTCCTGGACTAGATCCTCTTGAACTGGATGGCATATGTCCATCAGCAGTTTACCATTAGCTGAAGAAGTATGATTCTTGGATTGGGGGGTATAAATTCATCATTAAATAACAATATTATCATCTAGAGAATATACTAAAACCGAATTCTAATGAGAAAACTGTCCTAGACTAGGTCCTCTTGAACTGGATGACATTTGTCCATCAACAGTTTACCATTAGCTGAAGAAGTATGATTCTTGGATTGGAGGGTATAAATTTATTATTAAATAACATTATTATCATCAAAAGAATATATTAAAACCGAATTATAACGAGAAAACTGTCCTGGCCTGGGTCCTCTTGAACTGGATGGCATATATCCATCTGCTGTTTACCATTAGCTGAAGAAGTATGATTCTTGGATTGGAGGGTATAAATTCATTATTAAATAACATTATTATCATCAAAAGAATATATTAAAACCGAATTATAACGAGAAAACTGTACTGGACTGGGTCCTCTTGAACTGGGTGGCATATGTCCATCTGCTGTTTACCATTAGCTGAAGAAGTTTGATTCTTGGATTGGAGGGTATAAATTCATTATTAAATAACATTATTATCATCAAAAGAATATATTAAAACCGAATTATAACGAGAAAACTCTCCTGGACTGGGTCCTCTTGAACTGGATGGCATATGCTCATCTGCTGTTTACCATTAGCTGAAGAAGTATGATTCTTGGATTGTGTGGAGGGTATAAATTCATTATTAAATAACATAATTATCATCAAAAAAATATATTAAAATGGAATTATAACGAGAAAATTGTCCTGGACTGGGTCCTCTTGAACTAGATGGCATGTGTCCATCAGGAGTTTACCAGTAGCTGAAGAAGTATGATTCTTGGATTGGAGGGTATAAATTCATTATTAAATAACATTATTATCATCAAAAAAATATATTAAGACCGAATTATAACGAGAAAACTGTCCTGGACTGGGTCCTCTTGAACTAGATGGCATTTGTCCATCAGCAGTTTACCATTAGCTGAAGAAGTATGATTCTTGGATTGGAGGGTATAAATTCATTATTAAATAATATTATCATCAAAGGAATATACTAAAACCGAATTATAATGAGTACGTTACGACTTCAGTGGCGTAACTAAATCTATTTTATAGCTCATATTTAAAAAAATTGCAGATTATTTTATTAATTATAATAAATAAATTTTCTTTCAGGGATTGCGTGACATGTTTATCCAATCCCAGCAGTTGGTCACGTGTAACATCGGCAACGACGGCAACAGCGCACCGAGCAGCGGCGGCACATCAACAGCTTTCCTCGGGGCTCCGAAAAAACGCAGAGCCGTGGACTACTACAACAGCAGCAACAACCCAGATCTTGCGTTCGTCGTGGACAACGGCCATCACCAATCCCATTTCGCTACTACTGTGAATCTAGCAGCAGAGGATCAGCAGGGTGAATTGGGCAGGGACAGTCCGAATGGGCAGCCCTTCGTCAGAGCGTCCACTATTAAATTATTAGATACGTACCAGCGTTGCGGCCAAAAGGTAAGCATTCGGCGTTAGTGATGAGCGATATACAGGGTGGTCCGAATTGTAACCGAAATAAAAATGAAACTTCTACACCCTGTATCTCTGAAACGAAGCATTTTATGACATATATTTATACGAAGTTTTTTACTTATTTTATCTGCCGAATATGCTGCCGAAGTTTTCCGAATACAATTCGAACCACCCTGTATACAGGGTGTTCTTGCGTCCTGAGCGTGCATTAGTTTATTTTTATTAAATCTATCGATTAAAAATGTTTTCAATATGGCGGCACTTCCGGAAACACCGGAAGTTGACAGCAATTTTCTTATTTTATATGTGTGCCTAGTGATGTTGGTAGCGTATATTTCCATTCGAATTTTGCAGGAAATTTCAGAAATTTCCGAAATATTCGGTCCCAAAATCGCAAATATTCGCAAAAATCCGTATTTTGCAAGAAATTTCTTTTCAAAATTCAAGACATTGAGCAAAAATTTAACGAAAGTGTATCAAGTATGCCGATTCTTAAGTCAGAAGAAAAAGAATGCTTCTCCGCCTTACAAAATAAAAAACCTATGGCTCTTGAACCAATGCATTTTGCCGCGAATCTCTTGGACCCCTGTTTCCTGGGAGAGCACCTTAAAGGTTGTCGCCCACTAGACCGCTGCGCGGCGCGGCTCTGGGAAGAGAATTTTTTCCGGCTGCGAAGGAACTGCGCCCACTATAGCGCGCTTTTGAAACGCGGCAACGCTATTTATTAGTTATAGTCGAAGTGTTTTTTACTTACTGTAGTTTAGTTTTTAAAGCAATGAGTTCAAGTACGGACGAAAGCGTATTTTTTGTGCTTTTGCAGAGGAAGAGGAAGAGGGGGTGAGGAAAAGTTTGGACTCATACGAATAACAAAAAAAGGAAGAAGTTTGGAGAATTTTACCATCTTTTTCCAGATTTAATAAAAGACAGGATCGTTTTTTTCAGTATTACAAAATATAAAGGAAACATTTTACGCACTCCTCAATTGAGAGTTTTAGAAGCAAAACACCGAGCATCTCTACTCATCATATTTTTTCAGAAGAGACAAATTACTAATACTTTTAATAATTCTTATGTATTCTGATGTGTATATTAGTTATGTGGTGAAAAAACCCTGATCTTTTTTATATATTTAGGTAATTAGAATTTAAAAATTGGAGATTGTCACTTTTGTTAAAAAGTGGAGATTGCCGGTTTTGCCTCTACACCCCTCAATTATATTAAATCTTTGATAGAACGGCATTTCGTCCATCTGTCTCTAGTGAGGGAAGACTTAAAAAATATCATATTCCTTTATGAAAATCGATTTGCCTAATTTACCTTTAAAAATACAATTCTACCATTGATACGTATCACTAGTTCCTAGTCAAAAAGCCAACTGAAAAGACTCGAATGCAAAATTATTTCCCATGTGAGTACGCACACTGCAACGCGCCAAAACGCGGGAGACAGAAAAAAGTTGCTAGAGAAGTCTCCCGACTTCTTGACGGAAATCCCACGGCGCGCTTCTGCGCTGCGCGCTCTGATGTGCGTTGGTCCATTTAAATACATGGCAAGCAGACAAAAGAAATTTCCACATGGCGCCGCGCCGCGTCGCGCTGCGGTCTAGTGGGCGACAACCTTAACAATGAAGAACACATAGCTGCTATGGAATTTATCAACAATATTACCAACAATCATCCTCAGTTTGTCAATAATAAGCAATTTTTACAGATGTAACAAATTATTGCGCCAAATCGGGTTTATGGGCTCTCGACTACGTTTGGATGTCAGTTAAAAATGTAGACTGTCTAAGTTGGTGGCAAGCAATGTGTAAAAATACTCAGTTGAAATATTCAGCTGTTGCTCTGCTATTGCTCTGCTGTCTTTACCAACGTCATCTGCAGCCACAGAGAGAATTCTGTACTTACAGTTTTATCCATACTAAAAAAAGGAATCGCTTAACTGCACAAAGAGCCGGTAAAATAAAGTTCGTAGCTCATAACAATAAATTATTACTACAAAAACAAAAAGTGGATATGGAGCATGATCTTCAACAACATGAAATTCCTCCAGAACCACTAGAACTCGTGGAGGTAGAGGTCCATCCTTCAGAATCAGAAGCAGATGATACATCAAATATATCTGATTTGGAAATAGAAACTGACGAAGACAGTACTACTACTACTATAATACCCTATGAAGATGGGACCAGCTCGGCGCCTGATATTCCGGAATACCGGTTACACTAAATTTGACTTTTAGGCTGTACAAATTTTTTTGGCAGGTAGTTTTTTTCGTCCAAAAATTTTAAATATTTTTTTTTCTCAAAAACGGTTAATGTTAGATATAGAGTGTTTAACATCAATATTCATAGAATTTTACAGAGAATTTAAGTATGTAATAAAGAATGGGGGCACCTATTTAAAATAAGAAAGTTGCTGTCAACTTCCGGTATTTCCGGAAGTGCCGCCATATTGAAAATATTTTTAATCGATAGATCTTGTTGTAAAACAATGAATGCGAAAAATCTCCGATCTAATATTGTGGTTCTCTAGAAACTTATAATGCACGCTCAGCCTGGGACACCCTGTATAATATTAACAATGTAATAATTAAATGTTCTTTTTATGATTGTTGATAAAAGAAAAACAGCACGCCACTGAGGTAAACCAAAACGATAGAGCACACGAAACTCAACAGCGTTGCCATATTTATGTACCTGTTTTTCTAAACTCAACTAAAATTGCTAAACTTTGTTGTTTTGTCTCACCTTTATTTAGATGTATTTGTTGTTTACCCTCTACAACCTCTAATGACTGTTATATCAACAAATATTTTATTTTTGCCTAAAATGAAATGATTTAGAAGCCATCTGGGGTTACTTATTTCTTCGAGGATACATAAAATTAAGGAAACGTGTCATCTAACTGTTTAAACCATCTTAATCGCTGTTTAAATACTGAACAATTCCAAATAGAAAGGCTGCGAAAATGCCTCAGACTAAATCTATGCATGTAAATAACCAGAACAATTTATCAACGGCATTGTTGTTTCAGCTCCACTTACAACAAAATTTGTGTTCTTAGAACGCTCTTATTAATAAGGAACAATATTAGAAATAGTACGCTAATTAGAATTAACAGAACATTAAAAACGATTAAGGCAGAGAGCAAACAGTATCAACAAGTAAACATTTCAATATATAGGGTGTTGTGCGCTAATAAGAATCAAAGAGAAAATGAGAAATGAGTTTTATTAAAATAGACAAAACAAAGTAACATTCATATTTAACAAGTAAAAAAATACAGTTCTTGTTGCAAAAAAATATAGCAAACTTAGTATAAATAAAATACGACCTTTGGAAGACTAAAGAGTATAAAGTCGATACATTTTAGATTGGGTATTTAAATTTTTCGAGATTTTCGGGATCCCGGGATTTAATATCGAGATTTCCCAAAATAATATGGGATCTCGGTTTGAAAACTCTAGTTCTATCCTTTTTATATCGAAAATGATATGGGGAATGCACGATCAATTTTTAGTAAACGTCTAAAGGTTGACCTCGCCAAAATTATCATCGATTGTCATTCCCAGCCGTGTTTGACACCGTTTTTTTCTCGACATCTGACGCTATATTTAGATAAAACCTACTATAGGTTATTGGAATATTAAATTTCTTTATTGCATGAATGCCACAATAGGGTAACAAATGCCATAAACTCATTTATGTTTTTGCTAAGGGTATTCATTCTTTATTTTCTTACCTACCAAGGGCTACATAGAAAATTAATAAATTCAATTTAGTGTACGCTGAACCGTCAGTTGAATTTAGTCTTTCTCTCGGAACGTTGTTAAAATGATCATACTTATTTCGTGTAAACGGTTTTAGTGTACAAGTGATATCGTGTTGTTGTGGTCAATGGAATTGGTATGTTTTCATACTATATCGATGAGGTGCATTTAATGCCTAAAAGGGTATGTCTTTCTGTTTAAAATTATTGTGTTATATTTGCGACGTAATTTTTCATATCGTTGGTGAAATGTGTCAAACAGCTAACTCCATTATTCCAAAGTTTACAGGAGCGTAAAAAATAATATGATAAAGAGATATCAATAATATTTGTTGGGAACAAAAAAACTCAGTATTTCTTTAAAAATTAACTAAATGTATTAAACCTATTATTTCACTGAAAAAAAGGATCTCTCAGTCGAAATGAATATGACTGACCCAAAAGATTGGCGCTTTTCAATAGAGCCAAGAACGACGTTTCTTTGTCCAAAGCATTAACTATCTTTTCATAAGCTTTAAAAAATTACTTTAGAGAATAGAAGAATCTATCTGTCCAAAGTATTTCACTCTTGACCCAAAATTAATATGCAAAGAAGTTCCTGCTCCAAGAACAATAGTCTCTTTGATTCATGCAAACATTCTTGATTGAAAAGGGACATTTCTTGATTAAAGAGACACTTTTCTTAAACCAATAGCGAATGCCATTGACTCAACTAAAATTTATTTTGATCTAAGAGAAGTATATACATCATATACAGGCATATTACGAGGTATATTTTCTGATAAATTTAGGTTTTCCTAGTCTGTAGTAAGTAAAGTGATATTATTTTCCTCGATAGTAGGTATTTCTGCTTCTTCACTCCTTGGTATTTTTGGGGTGGTTCATCACGTGACTCAGCCTTAAATGAGTACTTGGGATTCGCAATCGTGAGGTAATAATAGGCGGTTGAAGCGTAATGCTACACACATTACATTCATTGTATACCGAACGGCTCTAGTATGGCAAGCTGTACCTTGCTACTCCCAAGGCGTTAAACGCTATATACGGGAGCTATTATTATTATAAACGGGATTAACCATTTCGGAAGAAGCAAACATTTTTATGAAGAATGTATTTTTCTCAAAATGCCAATAATAAAAAAGTTTCTCTCCTCTTCTAAAGACAAACCGGGGACATACTGTATAGGTAGCGATCTATAAAATATATTGCTGTTTATTTAAATGTGTGCATTAGGTAATTGATCTTATCTTCAAATATAGTTCAAATAAATGCTCGTAATTTCCATTTTTCAGTAACTCCTTTTGTCAGTAGTTGGAAAATTTCCGAAATTTGTCGGTAAAAATGATCAAATGCATGTTAATAAGGATTATTGAAATGTTAGGGATGATTCGTTGCTTTAAAAATTCAACGGTACGGTTAACGGATCCACGCAACCATAACCGTGCGTAATATGACAGATAAAAAGCAGTTTTCGACTTTCGGTTCATCGGACTGCCGGACCGACATGTATATACGATCGTTCGAATCGTGACAGCGTGTCGCACATTTTCGTAGCGTAGTGTTTTGATTATTGGTTTTTTTGTATTGTTGTTTGATTTGAAAGTGCTTTATATGCCTTTATTGGGTATTATCTAGGATGGACAATTTAACTTTTATTGGACTTGAATGATGAATCGGATTTGGAGGATGCTATGCTGTGGAGTTCAACCTAGAAATATTATCTGACCAAGAGTGCAAAGTTAACTTCCGCTTTGAAAAAAAAAGACATTTCTCGATTAGAACAAGCACTCTTGAGTTCCCAAGAGAGTTTTTCTTCAGATAAAATATTTTCAAAACATAAACTAAAATAGAATGAGGTTCCCACTAGATCTGTTTTTTTCAATGTTGTGTTTCTACTGCGCTAGTGCGCATGCGTACTATCTTTTTAACGGCTTTAATTAACGTCCGTAAAATATGGAGTTAGCGGTTACGATATACGATAATCGAAATTGAAATGTCAAAGTTGTCAATATGGCGTTAATACCGGAAGTTGATTGCAAATTTGTAATTTTAAATGGGTGCCCTAATTTCTTTATTACATGAATGTCAAATTCTCTGTACAAATTCTATGAATATTCATTTCAAACACTCTATGCGTAACATTAACCGTTTTTGACCTAAAAGGGACCTGTCAGAACATTTGTATAGCCTAAACGTCAAATTTAGTGATTACCACAGCCACTGTGACATGTGGCCTTCTATTTCAAAAATCGAATTGTTGAAATGTCATATAATAAGAGCGGTAGCTGTCATGGAATTGAGCGATTAAAAAATTATTATAAACTATTTTTTTTAAATGGAAATCCACTTTTTTATTTCACTAGTGAAAAGGTTCTTCAATTCGTTATTTTTTAACTATACATGTTCCTATACCTAAAATAAATTGTTTTCAAGTTATTAAGATTTAATTTGGAAACATATATTTTTCTTGATTTTATCTAGCTTCCTTTGAGATTAAGTGTCAAACAGTCAGACAATTTATTTCTATCAGATAACGAACTATTTGAATTTATTGTATACTAAATACTACCTGCTTAAAAGTTTAAAAGTGTATTTATAAGAATATATCTCGTATTTTCATACTATATTGATGAGGTGCATTTAATGCCGAAAAGGGTATGTTTTTTTGTTTAAAATTATAATGTTATATTTGTGACTTAATTTATCATGTCGTCTGTGAAATGTGTCAAACTAATCTCAATCAAAAAAGCCTTTTGGAGGAAAGTTTTGGGATAGTTTTGACTTTTTAGCCGACCATACCATAGGTTTTTCTTAATTTCACTCAAAATGAGTTATATGGGTCATAAATGACCTAAATACAAAATATTTTCATGGTGTCTGTCTGTAACGCGATAATTCAAAAACCGCTAAACCGATTTTAACCAAATTTGGCACAAAAATACTGTGGCATCCGAGAATCTGGCCATTAGTTTTTGGTGGGGGGTTGTTAAGGGGGTATGGGAGTGGGTTAAAAATTTTAAAAAATCGTAACTCCAAAATTACAGTAGCTAGAGCGAAACGCGAGGGGTTTCAATTTAAGATTAGGAATAATATTTGCAACAAAATTTGTAATAACATCAAAATCAGTCAAAGTCGCAGTTTTTGAGATAAAAAAAATTGGAAAAATTCCTTTACTTTGAGATAAAAAAATTGGAAAAATTTGTTTACTTTGAAACTAACAGAACTGCCTACCAACTTTTTATTAACATATTTTAGTATGGGCGGCTATAAGTGCCCCCCGGCGCAATTTTTTTTGTCAATAGTGACATATATTGACTATTGCCATTCTAAATATCTTGAGAACGGTTACTCGTAGCGATTTTTACTAAGAGACATTTTTTACATAAAAAATCACGGAAATGTATATTTTTTCATTCAGTGGTTTTATACAGGTACGGACGAATTAAAAAAATTACTCTTCAAAATGGTTAAAATCAAATACGTTCTAATAAAATATACGGAGGGTACCGCTTAAATTCCTGCCCCGATGTTGAAGGATGGCTATAGAATTTCAACGCATTTCCTACATAAGTCTATCCTTGTGTGGTAGATCCAGCTTCTAAACAAGGATGGACTTATGTCCTCAATCCAAGAAACTCGATCTTCTGTCCTTCAATTCTGGGACATAAAATTCTCTCATTACTCTTATGGGGAGGCCGCCGTATATTTTAATTTAAACGTATTTGGTTAAAACACATGTAGGTGGCGCCTCCTATAAAGTAGGCGTCATGTTAACATTAAAATCAAATTTCTCATGTCCCAAATATTGACCATACTTCGGAAATAATTTGGAAAAAATCGAAATAAAAATTAAACTTCTACATCCTGTATCGATTTTTTTACTTGTTTTGATCTGCAGAATATGCTGCCGAAGTTTCCGGGATACATTGAGGAAAATGCATGTTTTTAAATAATGGTTTTAAAAAATAGTTCATATAATTACAAATTGAACAAAAAAAAATTGTTAAACAATTAAATATTGTTAATTTAAATGGCCGGGCAAACGCTCTCTACCGCGCCTTGCCGCTGTGACGTCACCCGCCGTTCTTCTGGCTGGAGTGGAGCCAGACGCGTGTTTATTCTACACAGCTTGCTTTTAAACGCTGTTGAATCCGAGTCAAAATTTTAGTTATTTGTGTTAATTAATACATAATTAGTAATTAGTGATATTTATAAATAGTAATGGATGAGCGAAAACAGAAAAAAATGGTCCAAGGCCATGAGAGAGATGCAAAGAAAAACGTTAAATTATCCTCTATTTTTACGATTTATTGTTGTGAAGATCATTTTGATGTAAGTTCATATATTTATGTATATTGTCTTACATAGGTATATGAAATTTGAATGTACAGGGTTTTTCATTATATTTTGACACCCACATACAGCCTTAACTGCAAGTTTTAGAATAAAACATTAAATAAAAAAGTTGCATGGTTTTTCATATACTCTCTTTTAAAATTAATTCTAGTTATACAGGGTATCTCAAAAAAGGTGGTGCAGAAAATTGTAGGTATTTTTCGCTTTTCAACTGTCAATATTTCGTAAACATTTGAAGATAGGTATAGGATATTATACATGAAATATATCTAGAATATCTAGAAATTTCCTAAGGATGCAAAAATATATAGGGGTTTTCACTTAAAAAAGTAACTTAATTTGGCGTAATTATGGGACACCTTGTATAATATTTTCATTACTGATAAACAATTTATTTCCTATAATTTCGTAAAAAAACAATCTTTGAAAATAACAAGGGCAAGGGGGTGTCAATATATAAAAAAAAACTTTCTTTTTCACGCTATGCTCTGGAGTTATTTTTCCACGTACTAAACAAATATTTTTGTCTCTTTTCACTTCTACATAACCTACAGCATTATCTCCATACGTCTCCCTACCTGATCTGAAAAATAAATTTATAACATTAATATTTATAACTATATAAAAGTTCGTAACAGTAGGTACCTACTTATACTTAAATATGCCTCAGTACTACAAAGAATAAATGTTACATACCTCTCTGTTTTTTTCCTCGTAATTCAGCACCAATAAATTGGGAATTTGTATTTATAAAAGCAGCCAACATAAAAGCATCGACTTTTGGCAAGTTATCTGATTGTGCTTTTACAAACCCGGAATCTGCCATTACTTAAAAAATTCTCAGAACACACATCACATACAAATAATAACTGCACAAAAAAGCATAAAAAGCTCCTTCAATCAACGCTAAAAGCACGGTGTCTTAGTACGCCACCTAAATACGTACATAAACGGAACACGTCTGGCTGCTGCTGGATAACGTCAGACCAATAGAATATCGTTTCAATTCGCGAGGCGTCGTTTGCGTTATCCATAGTATTTTAAAGGCCCGTTTTATATAATTGTGGTACTGCTTTCAAGAAAAAAGTTTTTTTTGCATTTACACATATTTATTCTAATAAATTGAACAGTTTCTAGCGAAAAATAAAATATATGCATCTTCCTCTTTCGGACCACCGTGTATGTATGCATTCTTGAAATTCCTTTAACAGACAGAGATCCAGTACGTACTTTACATAATCACTTTTAAACGTCAATAATTTGTAAAAATCGATTTTTTTAATAGGCGGCTTTACTTAATGAAAAAAACATTATTTATTGCGGCGTTGTCAGTAGTTAGAAAATTTCCCGATGTTAAGGGATTTTTCTTACAATATAAATAACACTTTACTGTGAATTTAAACGATTACTAAGAGCGATATTGATATCTGTGCCACTTGTTTTTTTAATATTTATTTTTTCTGTTTTTTTTTTCAGCGCAAAACCTGGTCGGCCGGCGGCACCGCTGTCGGGAATGCGGCTGAGCGGGTCGAGAGCCTCGCCCCCTCGGACTCCAACACCACCGACGAACAACAGCACCCCCCGGCAGGCGGCGGCCCCACTACGGCGCAGCACGGCTCCAAGACGCAGCAGCCCGCGGCGCAGCAACAGGCGGCGGCCCAGCAGCACCAGCCAGCGGCGCAGGCGGCTCAGGGGGCGCAGGGGGGCGCGACGGCCGCTACGGGCCCCCCTGCCGCGCAGGCGCAGCCTAACCCCCAGCCGCAAGGTAAGAAAAAATGTAATGGCATACACTTTTTTTATTTTTTTCGATTTGATTTGTGTTTGAGTTGTTTTTTTTTTCGGTTGTGTGTCTATGGGATTTATACAAGTTAACTTGTTCGCAAATTTCAAAATTAAGTATATACGGGGTGTTTTATTTTACTGAGTTTTATGGGATTTCTTATTAGGGACTCACTCATCTCACTAATATAATAAGGATATTCCAATATACAGGATGTTCCAAAAAGCATGTGCCCATTCCTCACGCATAAATAAGATTTATTTTTCATATCAACATAGGTTCGATTCTGCTTTGTTTCGTAGCTACAGGGTGGTAAAGTCTAAATATTTTTTCGATTTATTATAATTTTCTTCCAAGTACTTTTAGCGTTTCGAATGAAATTTTGAGGGTAAAAGTTAACTTCACATAACTGTCACATATTTGAAAGCTAAAAAAGTATTCACATATTCACCAGGGACGTGCATATAGGTTATCAATGGAATATTTTTCTAACAAATCATGTACGCCACTGACTTTTTTTTCTCTTGTTAGCGAAATAGTGTTAGCAATTTAATGCCGATTAAAAGTTGTCTCTTGATATTTTGTCGATTTCGGCCTTCTTGATGAGATAAACGCAATTTTATTAATTTGCCTTGATCCAAGTCTAATCGCAACCTTTAAAAAAATTTAATATTATTAGCTTGCGAAAGTTTTAAGTAAGTACTCATTTATTCCTCATCAAAAAATATGAAAAAAAGTTTTTATAGACATGGGTATGGAAACTAGTAGTGGGAACTATCGAATGAATACTATCGAACCATTCGATAGTTGCAATTCATTCGAATAATTCGATAGCTAGTAAAAAAACATTCGTTGAAAACTATTCGAATAAAAATTATCGAATAGATGCGTCATCTGCCTTGAAATATTGTATTCTAGTAATTCGGCAGCAAAAACCATTCATTTATAAAATTCATTCATTTATGAAATTCATTTATTCGTCAGGATCGATTATAATAAAATATTAACTGGATTTTAGTTGTCGCCCGGCGACGTAGGTTTCTTTCCGAGAAACCCGACAGCGGTGGCAATGCTATGAAAGAAGCCGGGATCTTTGATTTTTTGCTGAGTCATATAAAGATAAGGACACATTATTTTTTTTATTGATGTGCTAGTATTTACACAGAAAATACATTATGAAGGGCGCTGTTGCCATATTTTGGTATTAGTTGATATTAGCAAAGAATATTATTGTTTGGCTTTAGTTAGTTAGGGATAGTATGTCTATATATTTTGCATTTGTTTATTAATATTCTGTTGTTATACTGCAATAATACTTGTTATTTTGGATGTAGGAAAATGATTTTTAATGTTTTTAAGCAAAGACTGGTATAATAAAAATAATAATAACAGTAATAATTTGTTATACCTATTAACAACAAAATTTTAAATAATTTAATATAAACATTTTTTTTACGTAGTAGCAAAATATAAACAACAAATTAGATGTCAAAATTATTTATATTAGATCCTATTTAAAAATAATATAGTCTTTAAATTTTTTGGCAACGTTGGTTTATTAAATAATAATAATTACAGAACTAATTTGTTATATTAACAACAAACTTTAAAATCATGAAATATAAACATTTATTAATTTTCTAAGCATGCAGTGTAATGGAAGGAAAATATAAATAAAAAATTAGGAATCAAAATTATTTATATTAGGTACTCTTATATTACTATTTAAAAATAATATTTACTTTTACTGGCATTTACTTTAAAAAATAAATGTAATATTTCTTCGCAAAAAACTACATGTTAGAGAATTAGCATAAACAAAATACAAACATCGTTATTTTTTTTTTAAATTGGCACGTGTAAAACTTTCAATTTAATTTTCTCACCCCATAGTTTGAGTTCGATAACCATTTACTTAATCACATTACTTAAATATGATTATTAAGTTCAACTAATTCATATTATTAAAACATCTAAAATACAAATATGTATTTTTAAAATTAATTCTAAGTTCATCTCATCTCTCTTAAAAATTGCTACTTCTCAAAATTTCCCATTAAAAAATAGACCATATATACCATATAAAATAAAATAATGAAAGATCGGGCTACGGAAAATCACACAAATTTTCGGAAAAATTTTGACATCTGCACAAGCACACAATCGCCAATTAAAAAAACTACTATTTTAGTATTTTAAATATTTTAATAAACGCAAAAATAGCACAGTGTTTATAAGGTGAAGTTCTAAAAATTTGGAAAAACTAATAATGCACTGACGCCTGACGCACACAAAAATCAAACGAATACTAAATTTCATTTATTAAAAGCATTCGATAGTCGTGGCTCAACGATAACCATTTAGTTGCACGGCGAGGTTGTCACATATGCTTTAGTATACAAATGAATGAATGATTTTATTCGAATAAAACCATTCGATAGTTGAAATCATTCATTCAGTAACCATTCGATAGTCTAATTCATTCGATAGTTCCCATCGCTAATGGAAACACAGAATTTTAGAGTTACAAGATGTTATGACTTTTTAAAATTAGGTTTTTTGTAATTATCTTAAATACCATTATTTTTTATTTGAAATTGCTGTAGGTTGGACTAATAGTAATAATAACTCATAGTAATAATATTTGGTAGTAAATTAGGTAAAATATATAATTTATTAATTTTATTTTAATTTGAAATTTATTGATTGTGAGTAATAAAATTGCATTTATCTCATGAGGAATGCCGCCGAATTCGACAAAATATCAAAAGATACCTTTCAATTGGTATTAAACGGCCTACACAATTTTGGTATCAAAAGAAAAAAGTCAGTGGCGCACGTGTTTTTTTTTAATACTCCAGTGATAAATAAATAAATATAAATTAAAATATGTAGCACTTATAGTAAATTTTACCCTCAAAATTTCATTCGAATCACTAAAAGTACTTTTTAGTACTACTAATTATAATAAATCGAAAGATTTTTAAGATTTTATCACCCTGTAGCTACGAAACAAAGCAGAATCGGACAGGTGGTACATGCTTTTTGAAACACCCTGTATATTTCATAAATATCTGTGAGATATTTCCACAGTACTTAGTTTTTAATTTGCTTACAAGTTAGTGTATAGCTATAGACACAGCTTTCTATTTGGTTTTTTTTCTTGTATACAAGGTATCTAGAGTTACTGACAAACCATAACATCTTCAACTTAATATACCATTCTAGACACTTTATCTGCGTGGTCTGTATTTTAATGCATGCGACAGAGATAAATATAAATAAGAAACGGCATACAGTGTTGCCGGTTTTTTACGTGTGTAGAAAAAAATAAACTATCTTAAAAACTTTCATGTATTCCACTGAAATGAAGATAAATATATCTAAGCTAAATATTAATCTATTACATCTCTAGCAAAATGAGTAACTAATTGTAAAAAATAAAGTTCCAACCCTAGATGCAACATTTTTCCTAAACGCCTATTTGTGCGGTTTGAAAGTTTGATGCAAAATTCGGCAATACCGCATAGAAGAAATGTATCAACTTTTATCTCTTTTTAATACATTTGATTTTCCATTAAGTTGTCTACATCACTGTCTTACACGTTAAAATCGAGACCACGCAGTTTCGATGACCAGATCGGTATAAATATACAGGGTGTCTCAGAAATAAGTGCAAGTATTTTAGGTGGTGATAGATCTGGTCAGAAGAAACGTTTTTTCTCTTTACCGTTTTTCAAATAAGCGAGTTATTTTACTTTGAAAATTTAAAAAAAATGCTTTTTTGCTTAAATTTTGAGAACCACTGGATCTTTTCTGGATTTTCTTTTATGTAAATTTAATCTACTACTTACCTATGTTGCCATATTATCAAGAAATTATGTATTTTTAACTTAAAAGAAACTAAAAAAATTCCAAATTTTTTTTCAAAAAATTGCGAATTTTCAATTTTTTTTTCCGCAAAAAATACCCCGTAGGCGTGTTTCTGAGGCTGAAATATACTCCCAGTTAAAATACTTGCGCTTATTTCTGGGACACCCTGTATAAAAAAACGTTTATTATTGTTAATTAAAAGATGAACCGATAACTATTGACTTACGAGTGTCATTTAATATTTTTTTTTAAATTTATATTAAACGTGTTATTTTTGCGTTGTATGAATAATTTTAGATACCCTGTATATTTTATGTTGTTTTTTTTTGATAAAATTGCCTAATGAATGACCTTTAAAAATGAAGGTAACTTATTAAACATTATTTTCAATTTTTTCTCATTTTGGTATTATTATTTTTATTATCTACAAAGAATTTGGTGTATTGCCATACTTTTTCTTATTCTTCTGATTATTCATATTGAGCATTGGTAATTAATCATATTTTTTATGATGCCTCTCTTTTTACTATTTTACGAAAAATTACGTGATTTTTTCATTTAATATAGTCAAAGACATTCCAGAACTAAATGTATGGATCTACAAAACATCTCAGCAGTTAACATAGGTACCAAAAACATTTATAAATAATGAATCAGTTGGAAATTTTTAGTGCTACGCTTACTTTCAGTCCAAGGTTATGTCCAAAATTAACATTTTGCAAGCCTACCAAGTACTAAAACGAAATACAATTTATTTAAAATATACGTTAAGGTATTTTGGTTAATAAATCTATTTAGAATGTTTATTAACTAACACAAGAATGGCAGTAATGCATATAAAGTGAAATTGATACTAAAATTTGAAGAAACTGGTATACTATGGTCTAATTACCAATGCAATTACATATCTATTTCTTGAACGTTAATATAATTTTTAGTTTAACTAAAATTCCTGGGGGGATATGGTACAAATTTTTGCATGTCATTAACAGATTTCAGCTTTTAGATATAGGCAACCTTGATTTTTTTCATTTTATTAAAGAACAACAAATTGTTCTTACTTTTTAGCTTGTGTATATTATATTCAAATTAAAATCTACTTTGCTGCTGTACTGCAAAAATTA